AAGACGTAACGTAAGACGTAACGTAAGACGTAACGTAAGACGTAACGTAAGACGTAACGTAAGACGTAACGTAAGACGTAACGTAAGACGTAACGTAACGTGGGTTTGGAGCTGCTCAACAGGTGGTGTTGAACCATGACGCTCCTGCCCCCCCGCGCGCCCCAACTGTCTGGCAGAAACGGGTCCGTTTAAAAAATAAATATATTTATGGTTACAGCGAGGGGTTGTGCAGCGACAGGCAGCCAGTGACGCACACCGCCGGCAACCTGACTCACTTAGACGCCCGAGCGACACGTCAACCAACCCCCACACCACCGTAGCAAACTACTTCAACATGCACGACGCTGTGGCATTCTCATACCTTGCTGGGCGTGCTGTCTCCTCTGCCATGTGTCGGGTCCTTTGCTCGAGTACTGCGCGGTGCACATACCTGCAACATTTAAACAAAACAGTCAAACCCTGATCACAAATAACTGATGGAATGGTTTAGCCTTGTGCGAAGTTTGTTAGGAATCTATTACAACCCAATTTATTCCGTTCAACTTAAATCCAGGTTGGGGAGAGCTCAAAAAGGTCAGCCTGGGTGCCAAACTGTTTTCCGTCATGTGGTGTGCGGGACCAAGTTGTCCGCGGGGCTTCCCCTTCCCCCCTGGTGGGACAAGCGGAGCCCGACCCTCATGTGTATTCCAGCCACGTTCAACAACAACGTACGGACAGACAGACGGACAGGGCGCTGCTCACTACAACCGCCTTGACTTTGAAAGGCGACCCCAGCGCATTAGCATGGGCCGGGCCAGACGCGGCGCGGTGGCGGGCGGGCGCGGTGACAACCGCTCCTCTCGCCGCGTCGGGCTGTGCGGCGGCAGGTTCGAAAGCCCCACAAGTGACTCGGCACTCGCACTCGGCCCGCCTCACCAGATGAGCTGATGCCGGTGCATCCCGACGGTAATCATCATGAGCGCCCCTGACCCACATCAACAAGCGCACGCGCGCACCGCACGCACCTGCCTCACACTCGGTGGCGTTTGTCCGGGCTCGTCTCGTTTGAGGCAGAGAGGCAGAGAGAGAGAGGCAGAGAGGCAGAGAGGGAGAGAGAGAGAGAGAGAGAGAGAGAG